AGAAAGGCTAGAGTAATGAGTGAATCTGAGCAAAACAGAGTACTCTGCTGCTGTCTTTTTTTCCTAGGAAATGCCCCAGAATGCAAGGGCTACATAAACCCACCGAAAGATGGTTCAGATGGATTCTAACATGCTCATATCATAATATATGAAAACCAGGGATGTGCACTCAGGTTCAGAAGTATTCAGAATTCACCAGATAATGCCATACTTGCGATTGTTCTAAATATATCCAAATTAAAATTTGATAGTTCTGAATATTTGTAATAAAAATTACTAAATGCTCGGAGACCCATTCACTCCTGAAGTTAGAAAGCAAAAGGCTGGGTTTCCGCTTCCTAGAGGAGGAAGTGAAAGTGAAACCTATTTCTCAGGCATCCCGAAAGGATTTCTTGAGAAATCAAACTTAACTACACTCTGGCACCAAGGAAAGTTAAGGGACAGGAAACTCAGTGTCCCCTGATTGAGGTTGCCATGGGTTTCCCCAAGGGAGGGGGCTGGCGTGAGAGCAGAACCTGTAAATGATGTCTGTCTACACCAAGGAAATCTAGAAGCAGGCACAGACACCAGAAAATATTTTTTTCACATCGGCTCTTTCTTTCCAGATGAAAGGTGGGCATAGCTGCTTATAAACCCATATTTTTTTCACATTGGCTGTTTCTTTCCAGGTGAAAGGTGGGCATAGCTACTTATAAACCCCTAGGACATTCGCTTTGCCTGATTTTGCTGTGGTCCTGTGCAGCTACAAGAAACCAGTATATGCACTGCAGCAGTTTTCTCTGTGTCCTTTTCTTAACCCTTACCTTACAATTACAATTACATTCTCTACATCTCATTGTATATTGTTGACTTAATGTAGTTAGGGCAAACTTGGTAAATGCTTTCCATTTGCCCTCATATAAGCGTGAGGTAGAGGGTTTTCATGCATGGTCTAGCATCTCGCGTGGAGAATAACCCCCAACTTAATGTAGTTAGGAATAAGATTTAGGATGGAGAATAACCCCCCAACTTAATGTAGTTAGGAATCAGATTTAGGATTAGTAGATTCATGCTTTAATACAGTATAAATCAACTGGGAAATATATTAGGTTTAAGCCCCTTTTGGGATATATCAGGCAAACGAATAAGATTTTGTTTTATATAGACAACTCTGTTAAGAGATTTTATGTCTCTCTGCATGTGTGTGAGATTTTAATTGGAAGGATTTGTCTTTTGCTGTAGCAGAATCAGATGCTGTTCTTTGTTTAAAGTATACAGGTAGTGTGAAATGTGGGTGTGTTAGAAGAAATGGGCATTTGAGGAAGGCTGCAGGAGGACTGCCTGCACCCACTGCAGCAGCTTCTACTGAGAGGAGTGGGAAAGAGGGAAGAAAAAGAGCCTCAATTGCTGTTATGAGTCCCCCAAACAAAATCTGCTTGGTTCAGCATTGACACTGTGAAACAGCGGCAGGCAGCAGTACATGTTATGTGTTTCGCTGCCATGGAAGTGGCAGGGAAGCCTCTGGTTTAAGATGGTACAGATATGAGTGGACCTCAGACATATTCCAGTGACATTTTTGTACAATCTAGCCAGAACAGCCAGGGAAAGGGGCCAAAGCACTTAGACTGATACTGTCAGCTTGGTCAGCAGCTGCACTGCTCTTTTTGTGACTGGAAAGAAATTTATGAAGAGCACCAGACATTGTCTTCCCTATCTTCCATATCTTTGCCAGGCATTTCCAACATATTCAAGGAAGAGTGTACTCCCATTCCCAGCAAATGTCTCCTGTGCAGAGCAGGGGACGAGGAGCCTGAAGGGAGTCAGGTGGGCACCATTTCAGAAGCTTGTGACACTGAAATCACACCTGCATCTCCAACTTCACTTGCCCCACCAGTTCCTGGAACTAGAGTGATAACAAGTTAGCTATCCCTGATAGAAACATACAATCAAAAACTGGAGATCTCAAGAAGCTATTTTGGAGTCTCTAGGTGCTTGAGGGGACATTTGATAGCCAAAAGAATAAATGCATTGATTTGTATTCATCAGGGGCATTGGTTCGTATGAATACAAATTGATGAATTAGTGATTTTTGAATGGATTTGGTGATTCAGTCTTTAATTTGTGCCCATCTCTACTCCTGAATTAAACAATGGGCAATGAATATTAAGCAGCAGCAAAGAGAGGGCAGGGCCAGCCGACTTCCCATTATATGTAGCACCATCTAATGGAAAAGGTCTGGCTGGAACTCAGTGGTCACACAGAGCAGGAAGAAACTGGCAATTTTATAGCACCCCAAACAGCTGTACCAGCAGAGTCGGAGGCCCTCACCACTGCAACAACAGGGCAGGAGCATGGCAGGGACCTGTTCTCCAGAGACCCTACTCTAGAGGAAGGATGTGGCAGAAGTAGAGATGCAGATGCAGACAGCCCAGCAAGTAAAAGAAATCAATCCCTTGTCTTACTGGGCTGAAGAGGAGGCAGTCTGGGGAGGCAGTGGTTAGCGGGACTGCTGTTTTGCACGCCAATATGCCCAGTGAGAGAGCATTTTCTCAGATAGGGGACAGTCCACATTACACTGGGAACCTGGATCTGTGGAAAAAATGTATTTTCCTTAAAGTCAACCTGGGCTTTGCTTAAGTCCTCTTTAAGTAAGAGAGAAGGGCACACTCTGACCACAGTACTAGGTATGCCATGCTTTGGTCTGCTGCTTTCTGCCTCTTTCATCCTTCCAACTGCTACTCTGAGATTGCACTCACTCACTCAACTGTGCTGTGCCATGTGCTGTTGGCACAGTTCCCACCCACCATAGGCTATCCGCTACTCCACCCAGCCTGCCAGTGCTGCCCAGGTTGTTTGCCCACTCCCCAGTGCAGCCTGTCCTCCACTTACCCAATGCTGCTGGCATTCCCACTGTACAGGTTTCAAGCCGTATGCTCATTGCAGTCATTTCCTAATAACTAGGCTCTGTTGGCTATGGGTGTGCACACTCTTTGTTTGGCACAATCACTGGGAAGATGTCAGAGGACTCAGGGAAATCTTTTTACAGTATAATGATTTCCCTGTCTGTGTTTTTATAAAGGAGAAAATAATGACTATATAGTTTTCATATTGACTCCAGTGGACTTCCAGATCTCCAGAATTTCTGAATTTTTTAAATTCTGAATTTCAAATCCAAGGGGCTGTAATTCCAAATTCTAAATGTTGGTGCTGGTGCATATCCCTACTGAAAACAATCTGGGTGACTCACACACAAAAACGGAAACATACAGCATCCAGTAGATTGTTTAAGCTCTGTTTGCACAGCCAGATTTAAAGCCCCTGCTAAGAGGAACAACAACTGTAGAAAGCACGAGAAGTCTCATGTATGCCAGACACTTTTTAAAAATCAGCATCTTGATTGGCTTTCCCAGTGGCATCACTTGTTTCTCTTCAGGGGATGGCTGTCAGTTGCAAGCACTTTGCCCCATTTGATGTTTCTTTACACCGCAGGAAACAGCTGTCTCTCCTGAACTGTTTGTCCATTTGGCACCCCTTGCTTCACACGCCATGGCTGTGCTTGGGGTGTGTCTGCACCAGCTGTTTGTCACAAGATATGTTCAGGAGCCTGTGTCAAACAGCTGGAGATGCCTTTTCCCATCACTTTCTCTTTTGGCTGTTGCTCATGCACTCTCTCTTTGTAATAGTTGCTGGAATATTTTAATAGTTTATTATTTTAAAAATACTTTAAATTAGGCTTGTCCAACCTGCGGCCCGAGGGCCGCATGCGGCCCAGGTTAGCTCGTAATGCGGCCCAGTGCAATTTTTTATTTTTAAAGACATTCCAAAGTTTTGTTTCTATATTGTTTGTGCCTATTATGTATGTATTTTAAGATAAACCCTATTATTTATATAAGCTTACTGGAGATTTTGTTATACTGTGTAACATAGAATTAATACAAATTAAATTAAATTAATGAGATATGACACAAATATAGAGGGGTAAAGATTTGGGGTCCATGCATGCAGCCCCTGACAGATTACTCCCGAAGGAATGGGGCCCTCAAAAGTAAAAAGGCCTCCAGTCCCTTTTGTGTGGTACTGAGAGATTCTGGGAGTTTTAGTTGAAACAACAGTAGCAAAAATCCTATATGTGCTAGTATAAGTGCCATGATGTAAATTTCAGTGGCAGATTTTTGCTAGTTACAGAGTTAATCAGCCTCTGTTCCTCATATATTACGTTATATGACTAGTACACAATAAACAGAAATACGTACATGAGATTATGCCATTGCATTTATAACAGCATGCTAAATAGGATTCCGACTAGTGTTTCCTGTGTCTCTTAAGTAGGTCAGTATTATTATTTCCATGTTGCAGATGGAAGAAAGGGCTGCAGACAGGAGAATAAAGGTTTGCCTAAGTAATTCCTGTGGAGTTATTTTCATATATGAACTCTTCACCCAAGAATTTGTCAGGGAACAAGAGGGTGAATTTTTTTAAAAAAGCAACTATGCTTTATTCTGGAGGTCCCCAGCAAAAGGAACATTTCTCCTCATCTCTACACTTTGATTTCCCTGTCAAGCATTTTGCTTCCCTGTCACAATTAGACATGATAGTAGAGTATTCCACAAGAGGTGGATTTACCACCATGGATTTCTGGACTGGAAAAGAACCTTCAGGCACAATGCTGTTTCCTATTTGGAATTCACAGGATTTGTTCAAATATAGAGTCTTCAAGGATATAATAAGACTTTTTTTAAAAAAGAAAGAGTACTTACCTATACCTGAGAATTGACAAGCAGTTGTTTCGAAACAAACATATGATCTCATACAAGTACATTCATTGGAGAGCCAAGATTTAATTTGTTTCGGTGTATGTAATGTGCTAAAACATTCCCGGGCAAAAGCCACCCCAGAGACAGTTTACTGCACATGAAGCTGTGCAAAGGTTTCTTTGCAGTTATTTCTGGGTCAGGGCCATTAAAGGGGAGAATCTGCTTTTGTTTAGAATGACAAAGTTAATTCCGCTTCTGTTCCTACAGTGTCTTGAACCGCACTCCTGCAAACTTGATTCAGGAAATCATTTTAGTGGATGACTTCAGCTCTGATCGTGAGTATGCATTTTCTTCATTTTCTCTCTAATAATCTTTTTTTAGTTTTTATAAAAATTATTTTGTTCCCGTTTTTGGTTTCATTTTCCACCCACTTAGGATATTTTATCTCCTTGCTTTTTAATTTACTAAAATTTTGTGACTGGGAAAGGGGGACAACAAAAGATAGAAAACAAAGCTATCCATTTTGGGATGATCTTCTTCTTCTTCAGTTTTTAGTCAATTCTCAGTGTGATGTTCAGGAACCTGGAATGTGGCCGTGAAGTCAGAATGTTCACTTGGCTTTCATTTCACCACCATTTTGTGGTCCATTGTCCTGAGTATGGAAAGTGGTGTGCACTGCTAGAAGCCCTGATTATGCACACCAGTAGGAGGAGATAATAGACTCCATATGGTGTCCTTGGCGTGCTAGCTAGGGTTGGTTGCCATTGGTTCTTGCTGAGTTTGTCATAGTACAGCTGTATCCCAGGGCAATAGATGTCTGGAATTGTATTGTAAGAAGCATTATCCACCCTCCAGGAACCTGGCACCAGGGAATAAAGCTTCACTGTGCAAATAATCTTCTATGTGGTTTCCCCCAGTGCTAACATCAGTAGCTAAAAAAAATTCAGTTCCTCAATTTCTAGAATGTGCACTTCAAGGACCAAATGAAATGTGACATGGAATGGGTCATTGGTGTCCATTCACAGATGTGGAAGGGGGCTTTTTATCTGAATCGTACACACAGGAAGGCCTTCTCTCATTTTGATAAACTGTGGTCCCAAGAAAAATCAGGGAGGCCTTTACCTGCTACTAACTTCAAAACAACAACAAGGGCTTGGTTGCTAAGCAGATGTTGGCTGTCATGGTTAGTTTTGACTTGAGCGATAAATACTGAAGGAGCTGCAGTGGCAAGGACAAGACCTTGATAGCAGCCATAAAAATGAACTTGTAGTAGACATCCTTTTCTCTAGATTTCACAGTGCAGGGGATATGTGCCATAACTTTGAATATTTGGTAGTGCCAAGAAAATTTAGGGAGTCAAAGATTTCAGTTCAACGTATCAAAAAAGTAAAGGAAGCAAAACAGCTATGGGTGCAAGTGTGAAGAAAGTGTAGTTCTGTGCTTTGTTGGTGAAGCTAAATTTTTGCAGTTGCCTCCATGTTGTAGGGGTGGGTGGGCAAAGTGCAGGCTACAGGTCAACCCTATCTCAAAAGTAATTTTTCTGCTTCTGGTGGCATCTAAAGTATATCTGTGAGTTTTTATTTTAAAAAATAATTTCTCTATAGAGAGATTCACAAAAGTGAGTTGCCATACATTAGCAACAGAATACATGCTTCAATGAAAAAGGTTGCAAAAAAACTTTTTTGCACATCTGCAACAAGGACCAGGTAGTTGCAGGTGATAGGCAAGGCCTTTGCCAGAGATCTCTGAAAGATGTGCCATCACTGCACTAGACAGTCTAACCTGGTTTCCTAAGTTTGTGAGGTATTCTGACATCCAGAATAAGAAGTTACTTGTTAGCTAGACTTTTATTCTTTGACAATGGAAGCAACAGAAGCTGAAGTATCTTGTGCATTTAGGAAGATAGAAGCATAGAGATCGAACCCATTGCCTGTTGAGAGTGATCTTACTGTGTGAAATAAATAATTTCCTGGTCCATAGGCTTGATCCCACTCATCAGTTGTTGAGAGAACAGGATGGCAATTTCTTTCCTCTTGGTGGGGTGTGGAATAGTAATGATGATGTCCCCACACCCAAGCCCTGTTTGGCTAGGAGGCATGATTTCATGTCAATTGCAAAGAGAAGCCAAAGATTCATCTAGGGATGACTAGGCAAGTTCCCACAGCTGCTAGTGGGTCTGTTGAAGAAGGCACAGGACAGTCAGGAGTCCAGACCAGCACCATGGACTCCCATTAGTTGTTCATTGCATCATCCCTTTATTCCCATGTGAAATAATAAGGTAGTCAATAATCTGTTTATTTAGTCTCACTGTGGAGCCTGCAGATTATGTAATATGTCTGTTAACCCCTCAAATGTGTTGGAATAAGGATCTGGACCTATATATATGGAGCACACTAGTTGATACACATTATAAATAATCAGTTTTAAATAGATGCCAAATGTTTTTTCAGTTCTCCACAGTCTCTAGTTATTATGTTATTCCATCTTCTAAAATACATTCTCCAAGCATCGCCATCTGAAGAGAGCCTTTCAGCTGGATGTTGTTAGCACTGCTACATTTTTGGCATATGAGTAATCTAAAACAGGTTCATGGGTTTCCTTTAGTATATGGCTTTCCTTGCCTAGCAGATGTCTAGTAGTATCTCAGTAGCCTTTAATCGAGGGTATCTGTCACTGCTTTTCAGTTATATCGTTTCTGAAAACAGCCCACCTGGGAACAGTATCTGAAGCAGTGAGGAACTGTGGAAATGGAAAACCTCCAGGACTAGAAGTGACCAGCAAGTACTTTGGCTGGGAGCCGCCATCTTCTAAAATACATTCTCCAAGTATCCCCATCTGAAGAGGGCCTTTCAGCTGGATGTTATTAGCACTGCTAGAAGGGATTTTGCTACATTCTTGGCATATGAGTAATCTAAAACAGGTTCATGGGTTTCCTTTAGTATATGGCTTTCCTTGCCTAGCAGATGTCTAGTAGTATCTCAGTAGCCTTTAATCGAGGGTATCTGCCACTGCTTTTCAGTTACATCGTTTCTGAAAACAGTCCACCTGGGAACAGTATCTGAAGCAGTGAGGAACTGTGGAAATGGAAAACCTCCAGGACTAGAAGTGACCAGCAAGTACTTTGGCTGGGAGCCTTGGAGCTTCTTGCCAGGATACCAAGGTTGTGCTAAGATGATAAGAGAAAGGTTTTTCAAGACATGGCAGGGGGGGGGAGGAAGAAGTTAATCTGACTGCTGCTCATACTAGGGCATGAGAGAGATTCATACTACCAAGGAGGCAAGCAAAGGAATAAAAAACATGACAAGGAGCATCAAGTAAGCTTTGGCTGATCTAGATATCCCATGCTGAAATGCTTTTCCAGGGGTTGAAAGGAGTTCAGATATTTTGTCTGATATACAGTATTGCAGTTGTGTGAAACAATCCTTTCTGAGTTTGGACAAAGGAGGCTCTGCAGTCTACGTTCTGTAGTGTACTTCACCCCGTGTGGGCTGAAGGCTGGTGAACTCTGTTTTAGAACCAAAATATATGTGACGTTGAGGTTATCTTTACATATAAAGAGTTGGAGCAGAATGTCTTGCTGATGCCTTGCTACCTAAGCAGTAAGAGGTATGAGCCAAGATCTTCCAAAGCTAGGCATAACAGTTTGTCCGGTAGATTGCATTGGGTGTTTATGATACAAAATGTCCTGGGAAAAAGATAATGATAAGCATCACTCCGTGAAGAACTCTCTTCTTAATTTCACATCATCCTTTTTCTTCCTTTTAGTATCCTATCTTTATCAGACTTTACACATCTGTGGTTTTTTTCCCTTGAAAGCAGGCCTTACATATCTCTGGGGTTTTTTCTAGTATAAATGAGTGTACAGAATTACATGTTACCAGTGTGGATTTGATTTAAATAAAATTGATTTAAATCATGGTTTACATTTTTTAATTTTTTAACAATTTAAATTTAAAAAATCATTTTTTAAAAAATTTATATCATGATTTAAATCAATTTGATTTTTTTAAAAAAATCATTGATTTTTAACCCACCCTCCGTGTTACAGAGCAAATACAGAGTTTCCAGTTCTGCATGTCCTGTTATGCTAATGCTGGGACAGAAGAGGGAATTTGCAAATTAACATCACCCTGTAGGAGAGGGCATTTATTTTAAAAAATCATTTTTTAAAAAATTTATATCATGATTTAAATCAATTTGATTTTTTTAAAAAAATCATTGATTTTTAACCCACCCTCCGTGTTACAGAGCAAATACAGAGTTTCCAGTTCTGCATGTCCTGTTATGCTAATGCTGGGACAGAAGAGGGAATTTGCAAATTAACATCACCCTGTAGGAGAGGGCATTTATTTTTTTCCCCCCCCNCCCCATTTTTTCCTTAGTCAGGCTTATTTTCAGTCTCTGAATTGGCTAGGGTGAAAAGCATAAGGGGTAGAGAAGTTATGGGGATTAATCAGCTGCCTGTTCCTTATTATGCCAGTGGCTCTCCCTGCATGAGTGTTAACCAATAAATGAGGGAGAGAGGTGTATCAAATATGTGATTTTGGAGGTAGCATGGTGCTGTCTGCCATCCGTTGTTCAGTGGCATGAAAACTACATGTTAGATAGCAGCTGCATATAGCCAAATTTCAGCGATCCATTCCCTTGAAATATACCCTCAAAAAAGGCTGATTTGCCCTAAATATAGGGGAAGCATTTTGTGGATCTTCCCACACCTTTACATGCACTGCAGCTGCTTTTACTACCACCAGTTTACCTTGCAAACAAAGATTTGGAGCCCCCAGGATGAAAATAGGACATAGGGAAGAAACTCAGTTGAAAACTGTCAGGCAGAGAGTCATTGGGGCAATGCAACGCTAGGGCAAATGCATCTGGTAACCCCCATTCAGCCTGCTCCTCCCTCCTCCTTTATTTAAGCCTAAGGATCAGGGCCTCGCCTCTATTACCTTCCAGCTGGACTTCAAAAGGTAGAAGCAGGCTGGAAGATCTCTAATTTGTGAATTGGTCTGCTCCTTAGCTAAGTTGTGTGTCAGTGAATGCCTGTGTGTATATGAGAGAGAGAGAAAAGAAAATGCTTGCTCACTTTTGCCTGAGCTGCTTGTCACCTCCAGCTCTGCCCACCATCGACAGCTGTGTCTTCTGCCCCACCAAAGACAGTGTGGGGCAGCCAGTGGTCGCAGAATTAGTGTAAAGCATTCCCTTCACTTCCATACCTATACTGTTCCAAAGTGTTACTTTCTGCAGGTGTTTTGTGAAGGGGAAAGGGTCCTTGGGCTTCATTAGCACACAGTAGCCGTGTAATGTGTAGCTTACCCTGCAGTGTCTGAGAAATGCTGACTTGAATATTTGTGGCACGGGAGGTTGCTGATGGGCCAGCCGAGTCCTTTGGGTGACACTTCAGGCAAATGGGATTAAG